AGAAATAGTAGAAGAATCTATGAAATTTTCATGCTTTTATCAATGTTTTGACATATGATATATACATCCTTAAATACGATCGCGAGAAGAGACGCACAAAACCAATCTTTTTCTTTTATAAGAAGAATTTTTTTATATCGTATAAAACGAGAGAACAAATTTCGCAGATATTATGAATCAAACTTTTATACTAAATTCAAGCACTTTTGCGGGAACGTCGAGTAAATTATATGTTACGTATTTCTTCGAGCGTTCTCCAAAACGTATCGCCGGTCGGATTTTAAGTTCCGTGAACGTGGCGAGTGAGCTACCGAGGCGTGTCTCCGTTTCCTCGAGACTGCGGCCGGATTTGTGAGGTTTTACATGTACCCCCGCGAAATCGTAGAGGGTAAACGAGAGTTACATCAACGTTCAATTGTTTGCGTCGAAAAATTCTTAACGCAAAAGATATAATTAAGATAAAGATTATAACTTCATTATATTTCATTTTATAAGAAACATTAAATCAAATATACAAAAATGCAAAAAATTGTGCTTGTCCCATCATTTAATTTTGTAATCGCTTGTGCGTATATATATATCACAAAATTTAAATTTATCTACATATTAAGTACACGATATATTGACGATATATTTATATATATACAGGGTGTTCCTGTAAAAGTTATAGCTAATAAATTTCGAAAAATCATGTTTTTTTGATGATTTTTAAAAATAACTTCAAAATCCTTCATTCATTTGAAAAAAAATAACGAAATAAATCTGATAGGTAATTAAATAACAAATTAAATTACATCAATTTCATTTATAATAATTCTGATAAGGCGTTCAAAAGAAAATAAGCTTAAAATAACGAAAATAGCAGAAATTTGAAAAAATCACTTTTCGATGGCCTTTATGTAAACATTACGTTAGTGCAAACATTGCAAATGCAAACATAAAAATATTCTTATTAAATTTTGATTATAATTAATTACTTACAGAGAGTTTATTAGCTATAACTTTTTAACGAAACATTTCCGGACCTATATTTATAGGAATCTTTTTGTTCCAAATTTAATTTCCTATAAGATCCTGAAATCTCATTGACCTGATCTGGAACACTCTGTATATTTATTTTTTGTGCGAATGACGGAAGATATACTTTAAACTATTTTTCTTTCTTAATGTTGCTCTCAGCAAATCTCCTTTTCACGTCCTGAAATTCACGCGTCTATGCGTGCGCGGTCAACGAGGTGCATTATCATCATCGTACAGCGACGTGCAAAGAAACGCGTGCGCGCACGCGTGCATATAAATAACCGCATACGGGCCGAGTGCGTGTGCGTGTACGTTCACGTGCAGAGAACAATATCCGCGGTTTTCGTATGTGCGTGCCCACGTATAGCGGGGATATAATGAGATACGAGCGGGGAATTAATTGAAGGAGCGTCGTAAAAAGTTCTTTCGGGCGTCTCATAATTATTTTCTCCTGCGTCGTAATTAGATGGTTAAATCGTTCGTCCCTCAGATGAATAAAAGATTTCGTATAAATATCAAGCATTCTGTATCTATCGAAACGGGTCATCGCAGGTGCTAATGAAATTCCGATATATATATTATTTTATTTTTATTATATTTAATTAAAATATATGCAATATATTTTATACATTATCTTATTTTTATTACATTTAAGTAAAATTGTTTCCATACGTTTTTAACAAAGTTTTCGAAACTTAAGACGCTCTATGCTCTCGGCTTTAAGGATGTATGTGTCATATGTCAAAACATTGACAAAAGCATGAAAATTTCGTAGACTGTTCTACTCTGAGCACAGTTTACTTAACGGTTTGCAAATTATTTAAGTTTCAAGTTAGTATTGATTCTTATGGAAAATCGCGTATTGTAGCTTATTGACAAATTTGACAAGGAAAAAACATTGCCAACGAAATAAAAATTGTCACATATATTAAGAAAACTCTAATAAATATTTGTGCAAAACTTGATTTAATTCCACTTACTTTAAAAGTTATTTACTAAAAATTGTAAAAAGATGTTATCTGTCTTGCTCTCTCTTTCTGCAAATTACTCGTTTTTTTTTTGTTCTTGCAGTTGATTTCAGGGAGATCAAAAGTTTTTAAATAGGAAATAAATTAGGAAAAATATTAATTACAACTATTTTTTTTTAAAGAAAACATTAAAAACCATATTATTTTGTGTTACTTTAATTCTTTTTATAATCCGAATTTATTTATTCGATTTTTCAAACAGTATAAACATAAGAAATATGTTTTTTAATTTCGACATTTTTTGCTACTATTGTACAGCTAAAACATCTTAAGTCTTTTATCGATCGTTCGTTTGATGAATGAATCCGAGGCGAACAAAAAGCGTCCGTTACTACGCGTGTAATCGCAATAGGTAGGCCGGTGTCGACGAAAAGGATGTGCGAAAGGAAGCCGCAGCCACGGTGCCGTGGGCATATTTCCCATCTTACGAAAGAGAAAGAGAGAGAATGCGTGTGTTTTTCTCTCTCCTCTTTTCCTACTGCCGCACGAATATAATACCATACGGATGCACGAGTGAATAAAATGTCCGCATGACACGCGCACGCGCGGCGAAGGAACGGTGCGTGGAAACCGCGCGGCGTGACAAGCCTCTTTTCGTCGAGGTAATCGTACTCGCGTAGGTGCCGTAGGTCTGTTTGATCTGACTCTTGCGTGCCCGCCTATTTACTCTTGACGCTAGATACGCGCCGAGCACGTATCTTTCACGTCCCGCGCAAAAGTATAAAGAAGAGAATCCCATTGATTTACACTTTACATCCCGTCGCGTTTGACGTTTCTTCTCGTTATCCGCTAGAACAATGAATGATGTTGATAAAGAGCCATTATTGTGTTACTGTTCGGACTATTGTCTTATTCTATGCAGGTAGGGTTGCCATACATCCTCTTTTCCCCGGACACCGTCCTCTCTTTTAGGGCATCCGGGGACGTCCGGGGGGATTTTTCGAATGTGTCCGGGGTAATTATGAATGTCTGGGGTTTAAGAATATTCATAAATATTCTGCTTTTTAGATTTAATTAACCACATCATATTCAATCACTTCAATACAATTGAAGTTATCAACCATTTGTTTTTTTATTTTTATGCGTGAATCTAATAATAAAACTTCTTTTAAATTAAAAACATGTTAAATTTATTCCTTTTACTCTAAGTACTAATGAAAATGAGATCTAAAATAATTATTAATTTTTTTCTGTAAGTAATGACGAAGAAAAAGAAAAAGTGGCAGTAATTCTTATCCGATCTTTTATAACGGCCACTGCGCTCGTACTTGGCAAGGGTGCATAATATATCGAGCGCACCTTGCGCTGATACCGCAACCTGTTGGTTCGACGCGAAATTCGAGTTACCGATGATGGGGTCGCACAAGTCATTTAACGGCACAAAGCGAAATAGGGCGAGAAATATGAACGAGGTCATCGATATGAAGGGGAACCCTTCATATACCTATATTTAGCAGCGTCATAATTATTATTTTCCCAGCTCTTTCTTCTCGTATCAGAATCAATAATTTAACTCAATTTTACGTTAAGCCATTAATGTTTTTATCGCTCGCGCTTATCAGGGGTACAGGAAATAAAAACTATCGAGATTCTGGCGAGTATCCATTCTTCTATCGATCGTCGAGACTTCGATTTCACCTCGTCAACTCGATACAGATCCAATTCCCTCTGGCCATAACGACGTTTCTTTTCGCGCGTAAGTCGATTCGGTGTCTCCTTCGCGCGAATTGAATCTCGTCCTATAGGAGAAAATACTAGCAGTGATGCATCTCTCTAAGGACCTTCCGTACAGTCTCTCCTGTAACGTCGTTAACTTGGTCGCTGTTAAAAAAACACTAAAAAAAAATTTTAAAAATATTTTTTTCGATGTTGTACTAATATAAATCATTTCTATAGCATCCCTGAAAGAGCCCGTATGGAAATTAAATGAAACGTCAGACACACAATTTTGAACGAGTTTAAAGTACAGCGGATTGAAGGGATATATGGGTACCTGTATAAAATTCTTTCGCCACGAATATCATTTTGCCCTTTTTTTCTATTATATAATTTGTAGCTCGCGAAGATCTCGGTTTGTACCGTCATGGGATAAGAGATGCATCTCGAGTCTCATGGAAATACGATCTTTCTCTGGATATGCTCCGAGTCGCGAGTCGCAGACCAAAAGACAACCGTGATTATTGCAGCGATCTCTCTTTCATTGACTTGCTACTATTATTTATTTTTATAAATAACTATACAAATAATTTTAAAAAATATTTAATAATATTCTTAAGAATCTAACAAGGAACCTTCGGCAACGCGAAAATTCAAAAAATCTGAAACTTTGCATAATTATAGTTTCCGCAACATAACTTTGTCATACATGGTTGAATTTGGCATAACATAAGCTTTAATATAATTTGAAAATTTTTTCAAAATATCAAAGAAAAATATTTAGTGGTGGGGGTATCTCGAAAAATTTACCATTTTTTAAAAATCCAGATACGCCATTGTAAAGTACATTTGAAACCATAAAACTTTTGTTTAAACAATTTTTTCATATTTCTTTTTGTTTCAATAATATTTGCTTTGGAATGTAAAAACCGATTTTTTCTAAGGGGTTGTTTTCACCCCTGAAACCGATTTTTAGCACCAACAAAAAATCGTTTCGTTTTTTGAATTTTCGCGTTGCCGAAGGTTCCTTGTAAGTCATCAAATCATTAGGCAATGAAAAATCATTAGTAGAGTTAAAATACGACAATACAGCTTCAATATTTCAAGTTTCTGATTAGACGACACGCTCTTAAAATGCATTTTTAATTATCATATAATTGGATTCTTTTGCTCATTAACTTCAAGCGATGGGATAGAATTGGGTAAAATTATGAGGAGGAGACTCATGCGAACCGATCCTGAAGGTCGAGAGATTAACGGGGAGAAGAGTCGAAGTTTCTCTCGTCCAATCGACGATAACTTTGTATATATCTAACCCCAGGCGGCGATGTATCCCGTGTGCTGGTCGTCTCGCGCGTCGGGGTGGCCGGGTGCGTCGCGGCCAGGTAAGGGGCAGCTGTCCACCAGGTGCCAGTCACCCCTCCATGTGTTTCCACCACCTTGAAACCGGTGGGGATCGGCGCGGTATCATTGGACGCCGGCTCGCGCGCGTTGCGGCAATACTATCGCGCTCCGCGACAGAAAACAGTCAGTCGTCCCAGGGCGCTCGACGGGAGACGTAGGCGATTCGCGATTCATTCGCCACTCGTCGCCGTGACACGCGGTCCTCTACGACAGTCTCTCCTCTCCCCTGTCGGATTTAAGGTTTAATATTATAGTGATCCGGACAAACCGTCAGACGTTATCAAGTCACGTTTAATTTCTGGCGCGCCTCATTTCTTCATCGGGGAATCTCTTCGCGCTCTGAAACCTCACGTAGCTTTTCACGATTGATAGTCGAGCACAGTGGTGTGAAGGAAACGGAAGGAATAATTTCGTCCTCACGATCAGTGTCCGAAAGTGCGATCGTCAGTGAGTCACGTCCGTCGTACTTTAACTCCATCGTCCTCCTGTTTCTCTCTCTCTGTCTCTCTTTCTGTCTCTCTATCCCTTCATCTCTATCTCGCCGCGGGTTTTCGCGACTGACTCTCTCGGGGGAGCAGCACGACCACATTTATGGGGGTGTCCGGAGAGTGCGTGGTCAAGGGCAGCAAAAGCAGCCACCCCTGTCACTGCTGCAGCCACGTCGGCAGCTCCGGCGCGAGCGTGCAACAGCAGCAGCAAACCAACGGCGAGCCGTACCATCAACATCATCATCAGCACCACCATCATCACCATCATCATCACCATCACGGCAAGCACGCACCAGGGAGCGCGTCGCCGCAGCACAACAACAGCGGCGACAACAACATCCTGGCACCTTTGCGCAGCAAGATGAAAGTGCTCAAGAAGCTCAAGCGCAAGATGGGTCTAGGTGAGCCACACCTCCATCTCTTCCTCATTGTCTTTGACGTTTTCCGGTCATCGCACGGCTGATCATGCGATCACCGATCCATCGATCCATCGATCACAGCCGATGTTACGCGGGTCTCATCCCATTTTATCGGTCAATGACATTTGGGAAGATCTCCTTTGACATTGATAGAACAGGAAATATATTGTGCCGGTTGTACATAGATATTAATTTTGATTTTTGTATTTCGCATATCTTTTGCCCATTGACAAACTTTAATTTTGAGAATTTAATTGAGAAAATATTGACTTTCCCAAGTCCATCGAACGTGGAATATTAATATACTAGTATAATAGATCACACCCTGTATATCGCGCAAACTCTCGCCAAAGTGATCTATATTCAAATCGATGGTTGTAAAATTGAATTTATCGATCGCTCCGATGAATATTGCGGATAGCATGGAGCGACGAACTCTCATCATCGAGAAACGAATCTCTAAACTCTAGAACGAGCGAGAAACAATTTTGGCTTTTATTTCCTGCGGTCCATCAGTGGTTTATCGCACCGCAAGTCCAATAATTGTTGACGACGCATCTACTACCTTTAACTTTTCGAGAAAAAGTCAGACTATCAGTTTTCTAGCGGTATTTAAAAATATACTCGTAGAGCGAGTTGCTTTTAGTAGAATTTTTTTCGTCGCTTTTTCTCGATACCCGTCGAATTAAATTAAATTTGTATATAAAAATTTTACAATTTTTATAAAAAAAATATTTATATGTCTCATATTATATGCGATAAGAAACTGTTTACCTTGATAAAAGAACGAAATATTTTCTATGAAAGAGTAAACTTCTCCAATATTAATAATAATAATTATTATAATAATAATAAAAATAATAAATATATACATTATATAAAAATAATGACATTTGAAAAATAATAAAATTTATATAAATATCACTAACTTCCCGGGATAATGATAAATCCATAATCCGCGATCGATACAAAAAAAAAAAAATTAAGCGAAACGATACGTTTAATTATAATGATACGCATAATTATATACAGTCTAATATTAATATATGATAACATAATATGTATAATATTAATATAGATGATAATTTTGGAGAAGCACGCGTGATATTTTTCTACGCAATATGATTCTACGAAAAGGTTTTCGTTTAAATTTATGTTCTCATTGATCTACATTCCACTTTAATCCGATGACCGAGTTCCTTAAGGGCTATTTCCCAATGATCGTATAAACGAGAAGATTTGTAGCATTCAGTTCTTTACTAGAAGACAAAGCGTAGGTTGTTACCGATTGAAATCGGGGTTAAAGGCCGCGAGTAAGCTTTTCCTTGCGCGATGGATTTTACGCGTTAATGATTTTTCTCCACCAGGAGGTTTCAAGAGACCAACGCAATGCGAACCCTTTGTGGGAGGGCTTTGAACCGTTAAAGATTTGTGAAAGGATACGTGCTAAGATATTTTATGTTAGAGACTATAAAGCGAAATAAATTCTATATCAATATTAAAACTTTACTTTACAAAAAAAAAAAAACTAATTAATTAGATTCTATTTTATAAAACTGTTTTTGTGTATCTTTAATAATTAATTAAAAAGATGAGTTTGCAAGAGAATTGTTACAATTCCAAATATATATTATAGTTTCACGTTTTATTAAGTAATAATTAAATAAATAAATTATATAAAACTATATAAATTAATTAAATAAACAATTTAATTTTATGATATTCTGTAGCCACATTTGAACTCAAGAAAATATCTTTTACTTCTCTTCCTTTCTCTTTTTTTTCGGTCGCAGCGAATTGGAGCGAACAGCTAACGCTGCCGTCTTTTGGAATTATTTCGTTTCCTGTCTCGCGTGCAAAACTCCGGTTCAGCTGATAGGAATATTTAAAAGTACACCAAGTATTTTATTTTTTATGTATCACGGAATACGAGACTTTGATGCATCGAAAGGAAAAGAAAAAGAGGAATATTCCCAATACAAGGTTGAGGTACTTTGTATGATTCTTGCCGCGATTAGCGCCGTGGAATAAGCGAAACGAAGAAAGTAACTTGTCGTGATGCTTCTGGGATACCATTCTTCGCTCCTCTTCCTCTGCTTCTCCTCTTTTTTTCCATCTTTTTGCGGCTTGGTGAATCATTCGCTCCTCGGTTGCAGAGATTCTCAGCCTCTTTACTTTCTTATCCTCATCGTGCGACTCTTTTTTTTCTCTCTTAACGGCCGCAGCTGAAATATTGCACTTCTTCCTCTTTCCGCATCGTTTGTAATCAGTTTTTTTTTATCTTCGTATTTTTCTATTTTGCCCGTAATCGGGATATATTGACCGTCGATAAAATACGAGGAAAAACTTCCAAAAATTATGTCCGAGAACAATTTTGGAAAGTAGCAGATGTCATGACTGGGCCAAAATTGATTTACTCGTTTGAGGAAAGGTCTCTTTCCTCCTCTCGTGATCTGAGTCATTGAAAGAGATCGATGACGCATTAACCTACTGGCCGTGACGAAATGTTATTGCAATGTAAATTGCATAATGCTGTGCTCGATTAATACAAACAATGCGCTATCTGTGTCAATTGTGATTCAACGTTTAAGTCTTGCATTTCACTTTATCGCTCTCTTATTGAACTTGCGAATTTAATTATTAATATATTTTTTAATCTATAAATAAATTTAAAAAAATTAATTCTCGTTGATTTATTGAAAGCTTAATAAGAGAATATTGGTCGAAACATCATTTTATTTATATTTGATATCGCTTTCAAAATGCAATAATCAAATTCTTTTTAATTAAATTATTTACGAACAACATAATTCTCTCGTCGTATATAAATAATTTAGCAATCAAGAATTATATCTAAATTTGTAGAAAGCTGATGGAATTTTATTAAAGCGTTGATTTATTTAAAGCTTAATAAGAGAATATTTGTCGAAACATCATTTTATTTATATTTTATATCGCTTTCAAAATGCAATAATCAAATCCTTTTTAATTAAATTATTTACGAACAACATAATTCTCTCGTCGTATATAAATAATTTAGCAATCAAGAATTATATCTAAATTTGTAGAAAGCTGATGGAATTTTATTAAAGCGTTGATTTATTTAAAGCTTAATAAGAGAATATTTGTCGAAACATCATTTTATTTATATTTTATATCGCTTTTAAAATGCAACAATCAAATTCTTTTTAATTAAATTATTTACGAACAACATAATTCTCTCGTCGTATATAAATAATTTAGCAATCAAGAATTATATCTAAATTTGTAGAAAGCTGATGGAATTTTATTAAAGCGTTGATTTATTTAAAGCTTAATAAGAGAATATTTGTCGAAACATCATTTTATTTATATTTTATATCGCTTTTAAAATGCAACAATCAAATTCTTTTTAATTAAATTATTTACGAACAACATAATTCTCTCGTCGTATATAAATAATTTAGCAATCAAGAATTATATCTAAATTTGTAGAAAGCTGATGGAATTTTATTAAAGCGTTGATTTATTTAAAGCTTAATAAGAGAATATTTGTCGAAACATCATTTTATTTATATTTTATATCGCTTTTAAAATGCAACAATCAAATTCTTTTTAATTAAATTATTTACGAACAACATAATTCTCTCGTCGTATATAAATAATTTAGCAATCAAGAATTATATCTAAATTTGTAGAAAGCTGATGGAATTTTATTAAAGCGTTGATTTATTTAAAGCTTAATAAGAGAATATTTGTCGAAACATCATTTTATTTATATTTTATATCGCTTTTAAAATGCAACAATCAAATTCTTTTTAATTAAATTATTTACGAACAACATAATTCTCTCGTCGTATATAAATAATTTAGCAATCAAGAATTATATCTAAATTTGTAGAAAGCTGATGGAATTTTATTAAAGCGTTGATTTATTTAAAGCTTAATAAGAGAATATTTGTCGAAACATCATTTTATTTATATTTTATATCGCTTTTAAAATGCAACAATCAAATTCTTTTTAATTAAATTATTTACGAACAACATAATTCTCTCGTCGTATATAAATAATTTAGCAATCAAGAATTATATCTAAATTTGTAGAAAGCTGATGGAATTTTATTAAAGCGTTGATTTATTTAAAGCTTAATAAGAGAATATTTGTCGAAACATCATTTTATTTATATTTTATATCGCTTTTAAAATGCAACAATCAAATTCTTTTTAATTAAATTATTTACGAACAACATAATTCTCTCGTCGTATATAAATAATTTAGCAATCAAGAATTATATCTAAATTTGTAGAAAGCTGATGGAATTTTATTAAAGCGTTGATTTATTTAAAGCTTAATAAGAGAATATTTGTCGAAACATCATTTTATTTATATTTTATATCGCTTTTAAAATGCAACAATCAAATTCTTTTTAATTAAATTATTTACGAACAACATAATTCTCTCGTCGTATATAAATAATTTAGCAATCAAGAATTATATCTAAATTTGTAGAAAGCTGATGGAATTTTATTAAAGCAATTACTCTGAATCTCGCGTATCTCCTCTGGGATTTCGCTAATCATGTGCTTGGAAATGAAATTTCTTGCGGTCTTCGCATGTCTCCCGCGAGTCGTTCACGTCTTGTAGAAGAAGATTTAAACTACCGAGGGGCGATCACTGACCGTCCTCACTGACTCGGCAATCTCACACACCCATCCACCCACTTTCCGCTTCGCGTGTGACGTCAGAGAGAGCCGCGGACGAAACCCGTCTTTGTTCCCACAAGCGTTTCGCGAACCGGTTTGCGGTTCCGCGTAGTATTCCCGGTCAGCTGGTCGGACCGTTTAATCGAGAAATTCTCAGTCTATTTTAAGGATTCGGCGATCATCCTCAGGACAGTGCCTCCAAATAGAAGCGTTCACACATATGAATTCCCCGGAGAATAACGTTCGTAAATTATAACAATTTATCGCCGGCGTGTGTGTTAAAGCGCGTCAAAATCTGT